ATTCCTCACACCGATGGCCCAACGAAATGTAAATTATTGTGATGGAGACCTAATATCAAATTTCAAAGTTTATCAGAAGATTCAACTTGGGAATTTTCTTAGAGTATTAATTATATGGGCAATGATTTCCCCACTCCTATTTTATCTACTTACACTCCTTTTTTAGTTATAAAAAAGGAGTGTAAGTGGATAAAATAGGAGAAAAAGGAGTGGGGAAATCATCACTCAATTATATATGCTGAGAAGTATGAACCTTCCTTGGAAAAGCCTATCTAACAAACCTTTTTTGGGGAATGGTGTTACTGCCACTTCATTATGCTCACCCTAGTCCTCCTTTATTATATCTTTAATCTTGCATAAAATTTCAATTCACTTTAAAAGACAACACCTAAAACCAAAAGAGATAAGCTTTGAACCTTTGCCATGGCCATAGCTTGGGCATGGTTAATTTGGCTACCATTTACACGTACACCAGAAGGTCAGTTGTTGTCAATCGTCTTAAATGACCACTCTTCCTTGTTGGTTGTTGGCAGCGACGGAGACATGTACGGGCCTGACATGGCTCTGGCCATTGCAAATTTTTCCACACACTTTGATATTGTTATGTTATATGCATGCAACTCATGAATTTTACTCTCTTTTCTTGCTTGTTGTGGTTATTATACTATTTTTTGGTCCTTTTGTCATTCTTAGTGTTTTAGCATCTAAGTTTTATTATGTACTTTAAACGTTATAATATTTTCTATTAGAACTTTAAGTTTTGCCCTCGCCTCCCCAAACTATAAATTTTAGCTCCGCCCTTGGTTATTGGGATGCTAGCCAGGTAAAGTATCAGCCTGTCACAATGACAGTTATCGTCAGTTTTAAAAATGAAAAAAAAAGGTGTGTTGAAATGTTTAAGGGTGGATGAATTGAGATAAATCTTTTGTTTTATATAGTTTTTTTTTTACTCAAGGTTTAAAAAAAATACTTATCCCCAAACTATAAATTTTAGCTCCGCCTTTGGTTATTGAGATGCTAGTCCGGTAAAGTACTAGACGGTCATAATGACGGTTATCGCCAATAATATTTAAAACGAAATAGGAAAAAGTATGTTGATTACGGGTGTATGAATTGTGAAAAATCTTTTTGTTTTATATAATTTTTTTTTACTCAAGGTTAAAAAAAAAAATACTTATCCCCATACTCAAGTCTCCCCTTCTTCTTTTGTCCTCCATTATTCCAAAAGAAGGATAGTTTTACAAGAGCCTGACCTCTTTTTGCAATCCTCCAAATGTATCTTATTCATTATCCGTTTGGGTTGGTCAAAATCTTGTGGGGATCTATAATAATAAACTACATGAAAAGTGTTTAGCTTCGAAAAATAGTTAATTAAGAGGAAAATAGGGGCATCAAGCTTCGAAACGAATATTGGCTACGTATTTCTGCTTGCGTGTTCATGAACTACAGTGTGAAGGCGTCTTAAGAAGCAGCACGTGCTTTTTCATGTTTGGACAGATCACCCATGAAATCAAATATTTAAATATTATTATTTCTTTCAATTTATGAACAAGAAGGAAAAAAAATATATGAACAGAGGATATAATTAAAATTTCTTAAATTGTTTTTGTTTGATTGGAATAAATTATAAATTAAGGTTGCTTCAACCACAATCCACCAAATTAATTAATTTCAGTTTAATTTGGTGGCCCTTTTCAATTCGACAAGCAACAACACAACAGTACTTGGTAGAGAGAGAGAGAGAGGACCACAATTTGTAGGTTTTGGAGTTTCACTTAACGTTAAGTTGCTGGTTCAAATCCGTTAGGTTGGATTTGTTTTAAAGTACTTCTCTTTTTTATTGAAAATGACGATAATATATTAAACATACACACATTATACGGATGTTAAGACTCGAACCCAAAACATTTTTCTAATAAAGTAATTACTCAGAACTCAGGACCTTCTCTTTTTTATTTTTATCTAAAGAAAATTCGACATAAAACAAAAACTTATTAAATTATCGTTAACAATTTGCTAATTACAAAAATAATCAACGAAAAGGACTTGAAGTTTTTTTTTTTTTTTTCTTGATTATTATATTGCAATTGGCCAAGTGTCGTTATTGTGCCAGGTGTAGTTTTTTATTGGATAAAGATTCTAAAGGCAATAGAAGCTTTTGAAATTGAAGCGGCAGATTATGGTAATTGGATTATCAAGAAAAACTTTCTTGATTGCTACATGTGCTCCTTCGCCAATTTGTAAATTAAAAATAGAAACTTGTTAAGCATGTTAATGCCTGTAGTGTTACTATTTCCTTCTACTATAATGAAAGTTCTATGCGTTTTTCATACAGAAATTGTTTATGTTGTTGGACCGTCAACTGTGAATATAAACTACTAATTACATAGATTTTTGTTTAGGTGAATAGTAATTTTGGGACAACAAACATACTAAATACTTAGAATTAGAGGCGGAGCTAAAAAACAATTTTTGGATGTGCCGAAAGTGTGAATAACTTAATTTTTGGGTTTTGCAAATTGTTTCATGAACAAATCACATATTGGTTGGAGGGGCCACGACCATTCTAGGCCTACATGTGTCGCCTCCAGTGTTTAGAATTAAACAAATATATATCAAGTATATGCTAAGAGAATACTACCTTATACAAATAGATACATAGTTATATGTTTATGGGTCCACTCATGAATTAGAAAAAAAACCTACAAACTTTTTACACATTTTTAACCATCGAATGAATCGTCGTCGCAACGGTTGAAGATACAATTGTATAACAATACAGTTGTGTTAATTCCATAACTAACAGAGCTAGCTGTGAATTTAAATCATCTAGTATAGTAATAGTATAACCAACTATGAAGCACATGAAACCATTAGTATATGTTGGTTTCTGCCAATAATATACAATCTGTGCCTCCATACCTAAACTGATTTGGGAAACAAGAGCAGGTGGATGCATGATGTGGTCCTTTAAAGATCTTGGCATAATTAGCTACTCAAAATTGGTAACTCTTTCTTTATATTTACCTCTCATTTACTCTATGATTTCAACATCATAACCAGTTGGTCCGTTTGGTAGGGGCTCTCCTTTTTCCTTGTGGTCTTAATATTCCATTTCCAAACAATCACAATGAGAGCAATCAAAAGAAGGGTTGCTATTTTATTTATTAATTTCCTTTGCCTCAACAACTCACACCAATCTTCAACATTTGTTCTATTTAGACTTTTTTAGAGTTGTTTCATCACGCACGGCATTTAATAGTCAAAAAGAGTGAAGGGACAGGTTTTAAACTTTTGCAAAATTTTCTTGATGCTCATAGTAACACTCAATTTATAACCCTAATTGTAGTTTTTAACCACAAGTATTTATAGTTATAGTGAACTGATTGGGAGCAATGTACCAACAAAAGTGACATAGTACTAGTTCTTCATTTTATATCATGCAAAAGACGTGGAATATTCTAGTTATAGTAAATTAATTCGGGGCAATTGCTCTAAACCACTATACGAGTGAGTCTTTTATGCTGATTCAAAGACTTTGCTTATTTTATGTTTTATCTTTTGAAATATATACTTGAAAAGCTTGACTTGTAAGCAAAAAATAAAATTGAAATTGTGGGATTTTAGTATGTTTCTTCTACCATGTGCACTTGGGTATGTTTCTAACCACTATTTTTAATTACCAACCGCCCCCCAAAAAATGATCCACTGTGGTCATAGACCATATAGTTATGGTGGAATTTGATGGATGTTTGGATATTAAATTGTTTAATTCCCATTTTGCCAGTGATTTGATCTCTAACCTATAGTCCATTAATGGATTATATAGGTATTACAGAAAGGTAAAGTCAGCCAAACCCCTAGTGGCCTTTTGGGAAAAAAGAAAAAAAAGAAAAAGAAAAAGAAAAAGAAAAAGAGAAAGGAAAATTTTCAAGAAATCCTATGTGTTCATCAAAGAAAAGTCCTTTATGGGTGGTCCAGTAAAACATAGCTAGGTCATTTTCATGCCAGTAGGGGGCATCTATTTTCATGTTCGAAGGAAGCATGAATTATTATTTCTTGCACGAAAAAATTCATCTAAAAATTCACAATAATTCTCTTTGTATGCATAGCCCTTTTTTCTTTTACACTCTTGTTTGTAGCTTATTTCATCTACAAAAGCTGCAAAGCCCACTCGATTGAAATTCACATGCTGTTGCCTGTTGGCATAATTGTAAAAAATGAAATGCATTTTTTTATATACAAGCAATCTAATCTAAATTAAATTCCGAGAACGGGAATTCGAATTTGAGTACAGAATCATATGCATTTTAAAATAATAATAAAAATTACCAAATTCTCAAGTCTTCTTACCTAAGGGGGGGCTGCCATGAACTTGCAATATTCTTTTTGTTTTGCTTTTGTTCTTTGCTTTTAACTTGCCACCAACTTGGTTAGGTTCTTCATTATTGGCCTTTTTGATTTACTTTAGCTTTTTGATCTCTTTTGCTCAGACAAGTTCATAATTAATTAGAGTAATATATATATATATATATATATAGAACAAAGAATTTGAAAAAAAGAAGAGAAAAACTGACATGCATGCATGTGATATGGAAGCTTCACATGGCATTTACTGGCAACAATTGGATGGCGCAAATCAGATCTCACCTTTCCTGATTTTAAAAACTTTCAGAAAGGTTGACTAAAATACCAAATACATTGATGATTTAGTGAGGATTTGATCCAACGGCTGCAATAGGTGCCACTCAGGACCAGTCTCACGTCATCAATTCATCATTGATCGGGTTTCAAACCTAGTGTCCACATAAACTTCTCTTTCTTCTTCCTATTTTTTTCTCGTTTTTTTGTTTTTTTTGGTTTCAAAATTCATAGACAAGAGAACGAGCCCAAGAGGTGGAATTATTAAAAAGTGACATGACTGTATTAATATTTTAGCATTATCAACCAAAATTGATTAAACAAAATCGAACAACTGGAATTAAATAGGTAAGGCCAGCTAGAGTGACCCCATTGGATGTATTAATCTAAGAGAGTCCATTAGAACTAGTCCTTTTTGACAGCTCTCTCTCAACGACTCACTGTCACTATAAAACTCACCATATCATGCATGTACCAAATCATCACCTCCCCCAAAAAAGCCAGAAAAGCCATCCAAGGCTCCTCTAGCCTTGAGCAAATTCTCTCTCTTCATCCCCAATTTTCCAGAGAAAATTTCTGAAATTTTGAGACGTTGAGCCGAGCTGCCGAGTAGCTCTCTAGCAAAACCCATGACGACAATGGGTGGCGGCTCCTCTTGGGGCCGTCTTTGGCCTCAAATGGCAGTGGCATTAGCAGCTATACTAGTTGTGGTTTCAAGCAATGTGGGTTCAGTAGAAGCAAATGCTTATCCCTACTCTTCACCCCCACCACCACCATATGTTTATAGCTCACCACCACCTCCTGTTCACTCTCCACCACCGCCATACGTCTACATGTCTCCACCACCACCGTCACAGTCACCACCGCCGCCTTATTTGTACAAGTCACCACCACCACCATCACCATCCCCACCACCGACTTATGAGTACAAGTCACCCCCACCGCCTTCTCCTTCACCACCACCACCTTATGTGTACAAGTCTCCACCTCCTCCACCAAAAGAACTACCTCCGTACCACTACAAGTCTCCGCCACCACCTTCTCCTTCACCGCCTCCACCTTACCACTATACATCTCCTCCACCTCCTTCACCCTCACCACCACCACCATACTACTACAAGTCCCCACCACCACCAGAACACTCCAAACCCCCACCATACTACTACAAATCCCCACCACCTCCTTCTCCTTCACCTCCTCCACCATACTACTACAAATCCCCACCACCACCATCACCTAAACCACCAACCCCATACTACTACAAATCCCCACCACCACCATCACCTAAGCCGCCAACCCCATACTACTACAAATCCCCACCACCACCATCACCTAAACCACCAACTCCATACTACTACAAGTCTCCGCCGCCGCCTTCTCCATCTCCACCACCGCCTTACTACTACAAATCTCCACCACCACCCAAGGCTCTTCCACCTCCATACTACTACACTTCTCCTCCACCACCTACTCCTTACCATCCCTACCCACATCACCACCCATTCGTGACGAAGGTTGTCGGAAAGGTCTACTGCTACAGATGCTACGACTGGGGTTATCCGGTGAAGTCCCACGACAAGAAGCACCTCAAAGGTACATATTTCTTTAAAATTAATTTTCTCCGCATATTTTGTAATTATTATTAGCTTTAGCGTCTAGCTAGAACTGTGCTTGTTTGTTTTATCAATCTTGGTCCTTTTTCCTCATTTGAAAGAAAGAGATGTTTTTCAAATCAGCTACCTGGTCCCAACGTGTAATGATTAAATTCACATGGTTGGTGCTTTAGTTTTGCGTTGCATATGCATTAAGAGATATAAAAATTAATTTACATTATTTTTGCTTATAGTTTTCAAACTAATCTTGCGTTTTTTTATTAATTAAATAAAATATAACGTGGTTTAATTAAATATATAGCAATAAGAACAACTTGGAGTTTTCGTTATCCAACAGATGAGTCCTCCAAGGTCCACATGGTCCTTTTCAAGTAGGGATTTGGTATTGAAATCCAGCACATTCATACAATAAAACAAAATCATTGGTTAATTAACTTCTCCATTAGGATATAGTTTTTTGGTTTGTCTTAAAGCGACTGTCGTTGTAAAGAGAAAGTTCCAATAAATAGCAACATGATTGGTTGATTAATTATTATTTTATTATGGACCACAGGTGCTGTTGTTGAGGTCACTTGCTGGGCTGGCAAGAAGGAAATCAAGGCATATGGCAAAACTAAGATCAATGGCAAATTCAGTATCGCCGTCCCTGACTTTGATTATGGCAAATATGGAGCTAAGGCTTGCAAGGCCAAGCTCCACGCAGCACCCAAGGGCTCACCATGCAACATCCCAACTAAGCTACACTGGGGCAACAAGGGTGCCAAACTCAAAGTGAAGTCCAAGACTGACGATGAAGTTGTGCTCTCGGCTAAGCCATTTGCTTATGCACCGAAGACTCCTTACAAGGAGTGTGAAAAGAGCAAGCCACATTATCCTCCTCCTTATGTTTACAAGTCACCGCCTCCGCCTACGCCTACTTATGTGTACAAGTCACCGCCTCCACCGCCACCCAAGTACTACTACAAGTCGCCGCCACCACCCGCTTACTACTACAAGTCACCACCGCCTCCGGCATATGTTTACAAGTCACCACCACCACCATCACCTAAGCCACCCCCATACTACTACAAGTCTCCTCCTCCACCATCACCTAAGCCACCAACTCCATACTACTACAAGTCTCCTCCTCCACCATCACCTAAGCCACCAACTCCATACTACTACAAGTCCCCACCACCACCATCACCTAAACCCCCAACCCCATACTACTATAAATCACCACCACCCCCATCACCTAAACCACCAACTCCATACTACTACAAGTCTCCTCCTCCACCATCACCTAAGCCACAACCTCCATACTACTACAAGTCTCCTCCACCACCATCCCCTAAGCCACAACCTCCATACTATTACAAGAGTCCTCCTCCACCATCACCCAAACCACCCACTCCATATTACTACAAGTCTCCTCCACCACCATCACCCAAACCACCAACTCCATACTACTACAAGTCTCCTCCTCCACCATCACCTAAGCCAGAACCCCCATACTACTACAAGTCTCCTCCTCCGCCATCACCTAAGCCACAACCCCCATACTACTACAAGTCTCCTCCACCTCCACCATCACCTAAGCCAGAACCCCCATACTACTACAAGTCTCCTCCTCCGCCATCACCTAAGCCACAACCTCCATACTTGTACAAGTCTCCTCCACCACCATCACCGAAGCCACAACCTCCATACTATTACAAGAGTCCTCCACCACCATCACCCAAACCACCCACTCCATACTACTACAAGTCTCCTCCTCCACCATCTCCTCTCCCCCACCATCACCCAAACCACCAACCCCATACTATTACCAATCTCCTCCACCACCTTCACCTTCTCCCCCACCTCCATATTACTACAAGTCACCTCCACCACCTTCACCCAAACCACAACCTCCATACTTGTACAAGTCTCCCCCACCACCATCTCCCTCTCCTCCACCACCATACTACTACAAGTCCCCACCACCACCATCACCTTCTCCTCCACCTCCATACTACTACAAGTCTCCTCCCCCACCATCACCCAAACCACCAACCCCATACTATTACCAGTCTCCTCCACCACCTTCACCTTCTCCCCCACCTCCATATTATTACAAGTCACCTCCACCACCTTCACCCAAACCACAACCTCCATACTTGTACAAGTCTCCCCCACCACCATCTCCCTCTCCTCCACCACCATACTACTACAAGTCCCCACCACCACCATCACCTTCTCCTCCACCTCCATACTACTACAAGTCTCCTCCCCCACCATCACCCAAACCACCAACCCCATACTATTACCAATCTCCTCCACCACCTTCACCTTCTCCCCCACCTCCATATTACTACAAGTCACCTCCACCACCTTCACCCAAACCACAACCTCCATACTTGTACAAGTCTCCCCCACCACCATCTCCCTCTCCTCCTCCTACCTACATCTACAAGTCCCCCCCCCCCCCCACACCCACCCACCACCTCCTCCACACGAA